CCAATCAAACGCTTTCTCTCTTCTAGATAGATAGATAGATAGATAGATAGATAGATAGATAGATAGATAGATATACTTTATTGATCCCAAGCTGGGAAATTGCAGAATTCTGACGTCGTCGGAGTGTTTCTGAGGGCCGTTACAGACAATCTTTGTCCTCACTGAGTACAAACACCTTCTGTAGAGCTACATTAACTGCTGTTAGCTCCGCCCCGGGACGCTACGAGTCAATCCTGGCAAGAAAACTATCAAACTGGTGCCGCCGGTCTCAGATCTTGATTTTGGTCCTGTGTTCGCTGGAAGGTAGACGCTGCTCATAGCGCTAGCAGCATAGCACTGGGGACGTAACAAACACCCAGCCTATTGGCTGCTGTAAACACCGATCAATACCTGTGATTAGTCCTTCCCTAACTGTCAGATTTTACAGGAAACAACAGGAGGAAGCAAACAGCTCTCTGCTTCCTGGTTAATGGGAAATTTAACCGAGCCGACTTCCTGAAGTGATCATCAAAAGTCCAAATAACAGCCGATAATTAGATTTGTTAAAACTCCTTTAAAGTCCTGAATCCATCTAATTTCAGTGTCAATCTGCTCACTTTGAACATAAATTCCAGCTGTTTAGGGTTAAAAATCAGTATTATCTTTGTAAAGTTACATAACGGTTTATGAAACAGTTTTGGCAGAAGTTGAATCAAAGTGTGTGTCGGTGTGAAGTGTGTGAAGTGTGTGAAGTGTGTGAAGTGTGTGTGTGACACTCCCGACTGAAGCAGGTAAAACCCGACAGGTGAGAATCCGTCAGCGAGCATCTGAACAAACAGCCGCTGACGGGGCTGCAGGAGAGGAGCTGGGTGCAGGCGTTCGGGGCTGGGTGAGTTGTGGGTGTGACGCAGACGTTCAGAGCTAAATAAAAGCTGGATGTGGGTCACACTGACTGAAGAGGATCAACAGGCTCCGGCTCTGCAGTAATTAAATATGAAGCACGGTGTAATTTTCAGACTGTGGAGACAAACACACATCAGATCAGGACGACGTGGATTCAGACTCGGAGTCTGTCTGACACACAGCGTCTCTCTGCTCTCGTTTGTCTCACTTTACTTTTGTTAATTGGTTTCGTTGGCAGCTAATTAGTATTACAGTTAATGCTACCTGTGTAGCATTAAGTAGCAAGAAACCGGATCCCCCTGACATAAACTGTATCTGACCCCCCGCTAGTGAATCTTTCTGCTCATTTGTACCAAGTTAACGACAATTAGAGACGTCAGAACATATTAAATTTAACAACTGTTTGCTAATGGCCCCGCTAACTACTTGTTCTGTTAGCTGAGGTTGCATAAATATAGTTTGAATTAGAATAACTAATGTTATGTTCACTCTGTGTCCTTTAGCATTGATAAAGTTCAGTTAGCTTTGTGTCTTGTTTGTTGGCATGTGAATGCGAGTTAGCTGATGTTAAACCGCCAGTAGCTTAATACCACTAATGATGATGTTTAGCAATGCTAATGTTATGCTAATGGTATGTTGTTAGAACGAGAAGGAAAACCTCCTGTTATTCTGATCGGGTTCAGCCCCATTGCTAGCCTCGTGTTCACACCAGAAACACAGAGTTAAAGCCTAAATGAGCTGTTAGCATTGTGCTACATGTGGCAGTTTGTTAGCAAGTGAAACCAGACTCTCTACAGCTCCTTTTTAATTAGGCCTGTCCACATACTTTTGGTCATATAATGTTATATTTCACATTTCAAATGGATCAGATCCACTGGAAATAAACCTCTGCACACATCAACTCTGTAAGGCTGTAATTAGTGACTTTACTATTGTTACATTTATAGTTCATAAAGTGGTGCCTCTCCACATTCGCACATAAAGTCTGAGTTCATCTTCAGCACCAACACAAATCTAATCTGCAGAGAGAACAAACAGTGAACTGTCTCCTGAAGCTGTAAGAAACAAACACTGTGCTAATCACAGACCGATGGACCGCCGCCAACGTTACACAGAAACAGGAGGGACGAGGAATAAACTGCTTTTTATTTGTTTCTGTAACAGTCAGAAATGATCTAATCAGCTTCATTAAATAACTGTTAAATGCTTCTGTAACACTGTTTTTGTACAGACATAATAAAGTTGTGGTTTTGTCCCCATCACAGAGGAACAGGAAGAGGAGGCGGAGGAGGAGGAAGAGGAGGAGCTACAGGATACAGAAACTATGAAGGTCTGACAGACTTTGTCTACAGTCGGGTCAGATGTAACATTTCAGTCGATCCATAATTTAGCAGCTTTGACTCATTCTGTGAAACTCTGAGACAGTTCGGTTTCTGCAGCTCGATGACGACAGCAGAGACTCTCAGGAACACAGCCTGTTATTGTTGTTATTGTTGTTATTGTTGTTATTGTTCACATTATTTAATTATCACCTTTCAGGGAGGATTGAGAACAATTATTCCTGCAGGTTTCAACAGGTTCAATTTAAGATATTTATGTTGTTATGTGATTGGACAGGTGAAGATAGACAGGAAGGGGGAAAGAGAGGCGTACAAAGGGCCGCAGGTGGGGATCGAACCTGGGCCGCTGCAGTAAGGACTACATGGGGCTCTACCAGGTGACCTACTGTGCCCCAAATTTGTTTATAGACCATAATGAACGCGATTTAAGACAAAATGAAGGATATGAAGGAAAGTCGGCATTGGTTCCATGTCGATTTGGTTACAGCCCAGAGACTGAAAAAAGCAACTTTATACAAGAAAAATGAAACATATTTAATGACCCTATTAGGATTGTTGCGACCTAAAACTCCCGAGCTTAAAAACTGAGATTCGTGTTACGAATCTTTTTACATGAGAAAGTAAAACTTGCAAAAATAGTTGCAGTTTCTTTTGTATAATTCACTGAACATTGACTACAACGATTTAAAAAGATGTATCGTGAGACAATCGAAATGCAAATATGTGAAGATCTAAAGATTTCAGTTTTACTTTACAGAGAAAACAATTTTTTTTACAGTTTATAACTAAATAAAGAAAAAGAATCAACAATGACAATAATAAAACATATTTAGTAGATTTCTGTCTATGAAGGAATTTTGTGTCTTCAGTCGTTAAAACGCAACCAGTTCAGCCTCATTCTCTCCAACCAGCACATCATCAGCTGCAGGGTTTCTCAGAAAGTCAAACAGTTAAAAACCAGTTTATCTGTGAACCCTGGAGACCACAGCCCGACCAATCAGAGAGCTTCAAACTGAGCCAGAGGACGTTCAATGGAAAACAAACTGCAGCTGAAACATTCAGTCTGAGGATGTCACACTGGACCTTTTATACATCTGCAGGTTGTATCACACATATGGTTTTATATATTGTATTATAAACTGTAGTTTCCAATCATTCATCATGAATCATTAATCATTAAAAATGTTTGTGAGCGGCTGTTGCATCACGACCCTGAGCCTGGGATGTATTTGTAACTGCGCCAACAGAAACACTGCAGCTCCACTTAATTACACACTTTGATGATGTCTCACAGCAGAGAGTGAGACAGGCCCACAGTGAGACCACAGAACCATCTTCACTTCACATCGAGTCCAAACCTCCAGCCACAACCGATCAATACGCTCAATATTATATCTCACAGTAATTAAACCAAAGACACACACACACACACACACACACACACACACACTGGACTCAACTAATTAGAGTCTAAACAACTTAGAATATGTGTGTGTAGTGTTTTGTTGTGCCTGTATGTCTTCGTCCTCTCAAGGACATGTGTTGTTTATTTAATTTCAAATTCAGTTGTTTCTCATTATCTAATTTTTATCTGTTGGAGACAATGGTACTTTAACAACAACAGCACTTTTCAATTATAGAGAAATGTGAAATGGAAAACTCATCAACACAGGCATGAGCCAGCCTGTAAACTCACTATCACACACATTTTAGACATAACAGCTGGAACGTAATGAAACACCACAGTCTTCTCAGCATAGAGGAGAGGAGAGACATTCTTGCAAGTCAAAATAAGACTCTAATAAAAGCTGTTTTTTTAACAAGACTAAATTTCTAAAGCCGAGTGTTCATCACAGCTTGCAGTGCAAAAGTGTTACGTCCTGTACCAAAGTGTTATGTACATTAAGGGTTTTCAGTTTTAACTTTTAGATGTTATTGAGAAAGGTCCCCTTAATCTCTCCATGAATGCAACACATCGTTTTATAACAAAATGAAATTGGCAGTTCCTTCATGTGACACATAGAAAAATATAATTAAAATAAAATAAATCAATATATACAGTTACTTATAAGTATATACATAAATACATGTACATATGCTTTTATCTTCACATAAAAAGAAACCGTGTATATCCACTTCTGTAATATTCTCTTTTAAGATTGATTCCATAAGTCAAAAAGAGAGGCTCGATTTCCATTTGGGCCAATCGGACAGAGACTCATCACAGACCTATTGTCACTAGATTTGAACATTTCAAACAAACAAACAACAAAGCAGAGGAAGGGAACTTAAAACAACAAATACTGGGATGAACTAAAACCTGTGGGAAATCCAAGACAGGTAGAAGAAGGCACTCGTGAGAAAGAATGAAGAGTTGCAGTGACGGTAGTCAAACTGTACATAGACTGACAACTTTACCAAAACCATGTATATAAAAAGACAACAGTGGAAGTCAATCCCTTTTTCTGTCACAAATCTTCATCCACATCACACCTCATGTCCTCTCCTGCAATATACCTGGGTAGGTCTTTAAATGGGAATCATTCATCAGTTATCCTCTTTGTTTTTACATGTTGTTATAGTGAAAGCACAATAATACACTTTTTGGGTCTTTACCCAGAAATGTCTGGTGGAATTCATGACAACCTGGCCTGTAGCTGTTGAGATAGCTTAATGTGGATTGTAAATGTTGGGCCACTAGAGGAATAAAAGAAAATAAAGGACAAATGGTTGAAATGAGAAAAAATAATCTCTGTTTTTGTAATTATTTGTGTTTCTTTATCAGGGTGATACTCCTAAGAACAGGGCTGAGAAGGCTCATGATGCTGAATTGGCGGCCTATCTGGAGAACAGACAGCATTACCAGATGATACAGAGAGAGGACCAGGAAACAGCTGTCTGAAACTGTTGAACTCTTTATGAACATCTTTGTGAGACTGGAACACAAATTCCAGCTTACTGCTAATGAGTCCTTCCTTGAAAGCACAGAGTGCAGACTGAGAGTGAACCTGTGCCAAATCTGATCTCCACATGCATTTAATACTGATTATGTGATATAATGATGATAATGACAGTTATATGGATTACATGGATTGATATTTATGTTAATGTGGGTTAAGATTTACGGTAAGATTATGAGATTTTTTCATTTTGAGTAGCCCAGTTATAATAATAATGTTAGTAAAGTCAGTATAAAATAGAACCTTTGGGATGATTGGAACCTTGTCTTGAGTTTAAATAGTAATATGGGGAGTCATTTTTGACAGACTTGTTCTTCAAAATGCTTTTATATCAAACTAATTCAAAGGACTTACTAAAATGTATTCTTCTTTTGTGGGTTCATTCAGTATCAGAGAGTAAATAGGGTCTGCAGACTTTAATGTTAATGTTATGTTTGAAAAACTCAGGAAAGGTAGTTCATTTCATACAACCATGGATTAAAAATCAAACGAGACTAAAACTGTAAAGCCCGGTTACCTTTAAAGGTTGCAATATTACTAAAATGTAAGATGTTAAGTTTTTCTTTGGGGTGAGGTTATGAAACATCTTGTGTGAGCCATGATAAAATTTTGGCTTAAAGATGGCGCTAGATTGAACTTTATTGAATATCCAACAAGGGTAAACTTCTTGGGAGAAATATAAGCCCAGTGGGGAAAGAAACGAATGGTGCTGAGTGCTGAATGCTGAGAATGTCAGGGGATTCTGAAATCATAAGGTAGAGTTGAGCTGTATGTTAAAATTTTCCAACTGGCCACCATCAGCAGCCTTTTAGCTTTAATATGTTCACAAAATGTCATGAAAGAAAATATTTTTTTTTCTTTTTAAACAGAAAAATACAACCGTACACCTTCTGAATTCGAGTCTCTCTTTTACCAAACTAAGACTAGTCAAACACACTTCCTTTAATCTCAAGAGGAACAGAATAAAACTTACCAAAAGCATCTTGGTTAGTCTTTTAATCACCAACTCTGGTGTCTAACCCTCTAAACCAATTAGTTGTGAAAATATTCTGGCTGTACACGCTGCCCCTTGACTTTGCACTCACTCCTCTCCCATTTGACGCCTCTACTGTTCCTGCCATGTCTTTGTCATGCCAGGACTGATGGAGCGATGGACTCCATTTACTAATAACATATTTTTCCAGTTACCTAACACTGTCATAAGGACTCTACTCAACCATTCACAGATAACTGATATATTTTTCGAGTTGCCCAACCCTGTAATAAGGACTTAGTATTAAGTCTCTGTCTAGTAGTTGTTGAGAAATCTTGTTTAAACCAAAGTGTTGACCAGACAGTGGTTCCCCTGTTTGTTGGTTGGAATGAAGCTCTGGGATTATTTCACTGAGCAGAAATGACATGATCACTTATGCTGTGAACCTGCTGTACTTCTTTAAAACATTTTGATTGATCTTACCTCACCCATACAACTTTATCAATATGTTGTATTTTCTTGACTTATATCAGCATATTCTAGAGATCATTACTATTTATATAAATATATGATGGAAAATAATCCAAGTGATGTTTTTATTGTGCCTGTACTGAAGGATTGAATGTATGAGATGAATTCCTGAACTCCATTTAAGCATCCAAAATCCAATCAATCAAAACATTAGATCAAATACAAGCAATATTTAAATCTTTTGTTTGCAGCATATTGTGCTCTGGCAGATTGGCACATTCCATTTCCTTTTTGTTTTTTTTAAACTGACAAAAACCCTAATGTGATTACTCAACTTTCTTTTTCTTTTTGTGACTGTGGGTTAGGGGAATTCTATTAGAGTACAAAAATAGAATTAGATCAAATGCGTGTGTGTACTTTAGATTAGAAAAAGAAAATCAAATGTTCATATTTAATTAGGTTGGTAAGTTATCTAAAATCAAGTCTCAAATCATGTATGATTATTATATTTAGTTTGTGCCATATTTAAAAGCTTGTTTACATTTAAAGTTAAATTATGGTTATAAATTTAATGTGAAAATGAAACTCTGACACCACCAATGGGAGGATAACCTTTATTGTCACACCCATCTTCCAATTACATCTGGCTCCATTACCTGCTTAGAGAGGTGTAGTATGAAGGAAGTTGTATATAGCCGGGCTTTCTTTGCCTTAGCTGGCTTGCTAAACCTACAATCCCGATCAGAGATCGATTTTCCTCTCGAGCTCTGTGCGCTTTCCCATAAAAGGGGACATTTAATGTTTCATTTTACTCTTCTGCACAAAATGGACTAATTGGTTGCCGCCTACTTCCTTATAATGGAGAGCTATGAAGAACAACATTATAAAAAATTATTACAACAATAAGCAACATTGTATGGCAAGAGAGTAACGGTGGTAGAAAATTGATAAGATATTCCTTTAATAGTCCCACCACCATGGGGAAATTCCAATAATAATAATAATAATAATAATAATAATAATTGACTTAACCCACTCTCAATGCCTACATTACAACTGCATATTGTAAAGCTTGATACAGTATATTTAAACATTATATTTTGACACTGTCTCATAATGAACGATATGTGGAAAACCCTTTTTTTGTCTAAATCAAGTGAAATGAATTTTATTGATTCATAATTATTTGTGACAAATGTTAATAGACTTGGGGAGATGTTTCAGATACAAACACAACAAATCCTGCAGCTTTACCTCAGTCTTTAATTCAGAAAAACTGCATGCATTTTGCCAATTCTGCTGTATTTCTGCTTGTAATGGCAGGTCACATATTCTTGACAATTTTTGATGACATAACTGATTTACACCAGTTTTCCATAGAGCTTTTAAAATGAATATTGCATCACTGAACAAAAAATCCAGTTCATTCTCGTGTATGGTCATCCTGCAAGTTGTAGGAACAACAGAGCTCTAAACTAGGAGTGCCCTGCTGAACCTTCATACCTTTGTTCCGTGTCAGTTCTTTTGAGGCACATGATTCTGAGATGCAAAATGAAGATCTGCACATTGCTTTGATAAAACAAAATACTGTGCAACGTGAGGTAACCTCCAACCTATTTTCAAACATAGCTGAGGAAAAAAAGTATCTTTACACCAGATTTCTTGAGGGTTTGATGATTTCTGTCCAAATGTTTTACAATAAATTAATAGAATATACCTTGCCTTTGACCTCAGCACAGCAGCTGCTCAAATAATTGGAAACTCTCAAACTAGCTTGACTGACTGTTTATTTTAATTTATTTTGCCTGTGAATTTTAGAATTTGAAATGTGTTGGTGTCTTCAGATTAGCTTTGCATTGACAATAAACTTGCATGTACTGCATCGCAGTGATGTATAGCAGGTTAGATGTTATCTTTTTTTAATTTACATCTGTAGCCAATCTAGTCTTTATTCTCTCATGTTGACATTGGCATTGTTTTTTGGTAAATGCATTGATGTGAAACAGTTAAAATTGTTTTAATTTTGTATTTTTTTTCTCTCTTTCTAATCATGCATTTCTTTTTTGTTTGTTTTTAAGTTCTTTGATATTTGTATAATTTGTTATATATAATAAAAGGCAGTATATTTGAATTTGACTTTTTTGTGTTCTCATGGGATTACACAAGCAAAGACAATTTAGCATTTATTTCTCTTTCTTCCTGCAAAGATTACCATGATGTTTCAAAGTTAGTTCAGAACACCTTCATTCCTTCAGTGTTCAATTCAAT